CGCCTGGGCAACTTGGCGAGACCTCATCTCTACAATAAATCAGAAAATTAGCTGGGCGTGTAGCGCATGCCTGTAGTTCCGGCTACTTGGAAGGCTGAGGCGGAAGGATCGACGGAGTCCCGCAGGTCGAGGCTGCGGTGGCCGGGAGTGAGACTCCAACTCAAAAAAACCCAAAAAACAAATAGGGCACATTGCAAACATTGTTGTAATAAAGCAAGACAGCTGCCTTGAATATTGTTTCTTTTTATTAACTTTTCAATAAAAATACACTTTTTTTTTTTTTAGTCCGAATCTTACTCTGTCACCCTGGCTGGAGTGTGTGGCAGCCTCACGGCCACCGTAGCCTCGACCTGCGGGCTCAGGTGATCCTTTCACCTCAGCCTTTCAAGCAACTGGAGCCAAAGGCATACACCACCATGCCCAGCTAATTTTTTTTTAACTGTAGAGATGAGGTCTTGCCAAGTTACCCAGGCTGGTCTCGAACCCTTGGGCCCAGGCAGTCCTCTCACCTCGGCCTCCCAAAGTACTAGGATTATAAACATAAGCCACCATGCCCTGCCTAGACTCTCTCGTTTCTAAATGCTATCTCAAGGAAGCTAAGATATAGTGCCAATCCATCAGAAACTTTTGCTGAAAATTTCTTACGAAGCTCTGTTAGTGGACAGAAAAATAACATGAGTTTCACATTTACAAGTGTAAAGTTGATGTGTTGGGGAAATAAAGTGAAACTATGCTTATGATGAAGTCTTGAGCTCCTGGTTACATTTAATAAGGAAAAGGTGATAGGAGTCTCTGTAGACAATTCATAATATCAGTCAAATGTGCCTAAAAATGTTGACCAGAAAAATCCTGCATGGTAACAGGATAGTGGAAACAATGTGGGAAGCATTACTTTGCCCTTGTGCAGAATACTGGTGATTTTATCTCAAGAACATAAGCAGTCTGAGTTAATGTCTAGGAGGCCAGGTGCAGTGGCTCACGCCTATAATCCCAGCACTTTGGGAGGCCAAAGTCAGAGAATTGCCTGAACCCACTGTTTCAAGATCAACCTGGGCAACTTGGTGAGACCTCATCTCTATAATAATTTTTTTTTTTTAATTAGCCAGGCATGGTGGCACGGGCCTGTAATTCTAACTACTTGGAATGCTGAGGCGGAAGGATTGCCTGAACCTAGCAGGTCGAGGCTACAGTGGCCGTAAGCATGCCACTGCACTCCAACCTGGACGACAGTGAGACTGACTCAAAAAATTAAAAAAATAATAAGTCTGGAAGGATATCTTGCTCCTTTATTTCTCTAAACAATATAATCTTTGTGCATCTACTCACTTGATAGAAAAAAATCCAAGTTCACTCATCATTAGAACATCTAGTGCTGGATTTGTAAACTAATCTGGGGAGAAATGACATCTTTACAATTGCATATCTTCCCATCTACAGATGTGACACTTGAGTTTGGGGGATTTTTTTGAGTTGGAGTCTCACTCTGTCACCCAGGCTAGAGTGCAGTGGCTGCTCACCGTCACCGCAGTCTCGATCTACTGGGCTCAGGCGATCCTTCCACCTCAGCCTTCCAAGTAGCTGGAACTACAGGCATGCCCACCACGCCTGCCTATTTTTTTGATATATTGTAGAGACAAGGTCTCACCACCTTGCTCAGGCTGGTCTTGAATCTCTAAGTGCTGGGATTACAGGCATGAGCCATTGCTCCCGGCTGACACTTGAGTTTTAAATGTGCCATTTAAGTTTGGTTTTTAATGTCCTTCACTGTGGTAGGCAGACCAATGCCCCCCCAAAGATGTCTATGCCCTCATTTCTTGGAACCTGTGAATATATTACCTTAACATGACAAAAGGGATTTTTGCAGATGTAATTAAGGTTAAAGACCTGGAGATGAGATTAACCTAAAGTAGCCCAGTAGGCACAATCTAATCACAGGAAAGAATCAAAGCAGGAGAATTCCCTGCCCTGTTGCTGCTGCAACGAAGGGGCCTACGTACAAGGACAGAGAGAGGCCTCTAGGAGCAATGGTGGTTCCCAGCTGATAGCCAGCAAGGAAACAAAGACCTCAATCCTACAGCATCAGAGAACTGAATTCTGCCAACACCTGAATGAGCCAGTATTGGAGATTCTCCCCTGAAGCCTCCAAAAATGAACAAAGCAGACTGACACCTTGACTTTAGCACAGTGAGAAGTCTCACTCACAGAACTATAAGATATTAAATTTAGGTTGTTTAGGCTGGGCCTGGTGGTTCATGCCTGCAATCCCAGCACTTTGGGAGGCAGAGGTGAGAGGATTGCCTGAGTCCAGGGTTCGAGACCAGCCTGGGCAACTTGGTGAGACCTTGTCTCTACAATAAATCAAGAAAAATTAGCAAAGTGTGGTGACACACGCCTATGAGTCCTGCTACTTGGAAGGCTGAGGCAGAAGAATCGCTTAAGGCCAGCAGGTCAAGGCTGCGGTGACTGTGAGCGTGCCACTGCAATTCAGCCTGGGTGACAGAGTGAGACTCCGAGTCAAAAAAAAAAATTGGGGTTGTTTTAAACTACTAAGATTGGGATTATTTATTACCACAGCAATAAGAAACTAACCATTCATTAAAATTTATAGCTTTTTTCATACACATCTTGCACATGTCTTGTTGGGTGTATTTGAAAATATTTTAATGATACTTGTAGATTGTGAGTAGGATCCCTTTTGTTGTATGTTCACTTAGTTTGTCCCAAATGAAGTTTTTTTCTTTGATAAATTCAGATGTATTGGAACTGCAATGTTGAACTTATCCTTTCCATTGTTTTTTGTTATCATATTTTAGTTTTTTCCCTTTTTTCCCATTGCATTTTGTGAGCTTGATCAAGTATCTCTTTTTCTCTCCTACTGTTCATTTATTTATTTGTTTTGTTTTGTTTTGTTTTGTTTGGCTTTTGTTTCTTGTTTTTTTTGAGTTGGAGTCTCACTCTGTTGCCCAGACTGGAGTGCAGTGGCTGCTCCCAGCCACCGCAGACTCGACCTGCTGGGCTCCGGCGATCCTTCCGCCTCAGGCT